CGGAAAAGGGTGGCTTGTTCCCTTCCGGTTGGTGGAGAGTTCCTGCCTCAAGTGGAGGAGTTCAAGTATCTTGGGGTCTTGTTCACGAGTGAGGGAAGGATGGAACGGGAGATTGACAGGCGGATCGGTGCAGCTTCTGCAGTAATGCGGTCGATGTACCGGTCCGTCGTGGTGAATAAGGAGCTGAGCTGTAAGGTGAATCTCTCAATTTACTGGTCAATCTACGTTCCGACTCTCACCTATGGTCATGAACTTTGGGTCATGACCGAAAGGGCAAGATCCCGGATACAGGCGGCCAAAATGAGCTTTCTCTGCACGGTGGCCGGGCGCACCCTTAGAGATAGGGTGAGGAGCTCAGTCACCCGGGAGGAGCTCAGAGCAGAACCGCTGCTCCTCCACATCAAGAGGAGCCAGCTGAGGTGGCTCGGGCATCTGTTTTGGATGCCTCCTGGGAGAGAGGGAAGTCTGGGCATCTTTGCTTAAACTGCTGCCCCCGCGACCCGGCCCCGGATAAGCGGAGGAAAATGGATGGATGGATGGATGGTGGGAACTCAACTGTTGGAATGAAGCACAGTAACAATCATCTTTATTCCTTGTGTGAAAATAAGACTTATCATGATATGAAGTCAGACTGTAGACCCCACTGGCAATAGTCACAGGAGCACAGTATATATAAAATAAAAGTCATTCCAATATCCCATTATTTTAAATACAGCGGAGTATGTTGCATTTGCTGTCATTCTTATTTATTTTACCTTACAGCAATTAAACTTCAGTGAGGAACACACATGGGTGTGCTGCTCTGATAAATTGCCTGCATGCTGTTTCCTAATTTAATATAGAGAATTTTATTTTGCATGCTACATTAGAGTTTGAGCCCCAAACTAGACTTACAAAAACTGGGCAAAAGCAGTGTGTCTGTGGAATGTCCTGTTACAGTAGTGAGAACAGCAATCTATTTGTACTTTGTACTGACAGATTCCTGCTAGACTTGATTAAAAAATCTTGAATAATGAACCTCTGAATGTTTGTGTCTTGGTTTGGACCAAACAAGTGATGGTGCATGCTGAGAACCAATAAAAGGTCAAAGTGGACAGAAGCAGCAGGGTGTTTATTTCTGTTGGTATAGCTTAACAAATCAGCATTCGTGATACACAGAGACATACTGGGAAGCTAAAGAAGCCTTCAACACTTTCAGTACTGAAACAACAATGGGGAGGCAGAGGACTGAAACAAAGTCTAACAGAAAAATACAAGCATTTTTATTCTGTACTGAGAATAATATTGCTTTTAAAAACGAACTGTTATTCATCATTGTTTTATCATGTTATATTTTCATTGCATTTAAATATCAAATATATTCCTTTACTGATGTATATATGTTATTGCTAACATTGATTGCACCTAATATTAGAGATATATTACTTACTTTGATAATTGGTTTATTCAAAAGTACAAATTTTACAGAAAATAACAGTCCAAATAAGGTGGGATATACTGAGGACAGGGTTGATTTCAGGACATGCACAAGGATTTGACAGGATGCCAAGGAAGGGGGGTGGGGTTAAGCCGTGGCTCCCATTGCATGAGAGGAGCCGTCACTCACACAGGCAATCACACATGCATTCTTGACTTGTATTTACAATATAAGGTTGGATCCTTTATTCATATATATATATATTTATATTAAATTGACTACACTACTCCAATACATAGCTAGGACCTACATGCCAAATGAGATGCTTCAGTCACAGCACAGATTCAATTCTGCCTCACTGTTATATTAGAAATGGAGAGGTTGACAGATAAGATACAGTAATTACCACACACACATAAATATATTGATGTTGGTGGTAGATACAGACAAATGATACACAACTACACACTCAGGTAGAGTAACATGGTAGCCAAAGTCAAAAGACCCCCTTATTAAATGACAATGATAAATGTTTCCTAGAGTGTCCTCAAAGTTCTGTAAGATATGTTTTGAACTTGAAAGCAGAAGTACTATTATTAATTATAATTTTGTGCTCACAACATATGAATCTTGCTCTCACAAGAAAATAACTTGAGCATATGGATGTTGATCCCACAAATAAGATCGTGTGAAATGAATGATCTTGTTTTCATGCAATAATAACATGTAGCAAAGCATTTTGTGCACAAGCTGTTAATGGGTGTGAAGAATATATGGATTTTATTCAGACAAGACCACAAGGCCTGCAAGGAAATTATCATATTCCCACAAGACAACTTGTGCATCTTGCACAAACAAGATAACCTGTGAAGTACATGCTATTGCTCCCAAAGACAGTAACATGTGTACACAGCATATTGATCACACATGCACAAGTTCTTACCTTGTGCACAGAAGATAACATCAATAAAATATCTTCAGTGAGGAACACACATGGGTGTGCTGCTCTGATAAATTGCCTGCATGCTGTTTCCTAATTTAATATAGAGAATTTTATTTTGCATGCTACATTAGAGTTTGAGCCCCAAACTAGACTTACAAAAACTGGGCAAAAGCAGTGTGTCTGTGGAATGTCCTGTTACAGTAGTGAGAACAGCAATCTATTTGTACTTTGTACTGACAGATTCCTGCTAGACTTGATTAAAAAATCTTGAATAATGAACCTCTGAATGTTTGTGTCTTGGTTTGGACCAAACAAGTGATGGTGCATGCTGAGAACCAATAAAAGGTCAAAGTGGACAGAAGCAGCAGGGTGTTTATTTCTGTTGGTATAGCTTAACAAATCAGCATTCGTGATACACAGAGACATACTGGGAAGCTAAAGAAGCCTTCAACACTTTCAGTACTGAAACAACAATGGGGAGGCAGAGGACTGAAACAAAGTCTAACAGAAAAATACAAGCATTTTTATTCTGTACTGAGAATAATATTGCTTTTAAAAACGAACTGTTATTCATCATTGTTTTATCATGTTATATTTTCATTGCATTTAAATATCAAATATATTCCTTTACTGATGTATATATGTTATTGCTAACATTGATTGCACCTAATATTAGAGATATATTACTTACTTTGATAATTGGTTTATTCAAAAGTACAAATTTTACAGAAAATAACAGTCCAAATAAGGTGGGATATACTGAGGACAGGGTTGATTTCAGGACATGCACAAGGATTTGACAGGATGCCAAGGAAGGGGGGTGGGGTTAAGCCGTGGCTCCCATTGCATGAGAGGAGCCGTCACTCACACAGGCAATCACACATGCATTCTTGACTTGTATTTACAATATAAGGTTGGATCCTTTATTCATATATATATATATTTATATTAAATTGACTACACTACTCCAATACATAGCTAGGACCTACATGCCAAATGAGATGCTTCAGTCACAGCACAGATTCAATTCTGCCTCACTGTTATATTAGAAATGGAGAGGTTGACAGATAAGATACAGTAATTACCACACACACATAAATATATTGATGTTGGTGGTAGATACAGACAAATGATACACAACTACACACTCAGGTAGAGTAACATGGTAGCCAAAGTCAAAAGACCCCCTTATTAAATGACAATGATAAATGTTTCCTAGAGTGTCCTCAAAGTTCTGTAAGATATGTTTTGAACTTGAAAGCAGAAGTACTATTATTAATTATAATTTTGTGCTCACAACATATGAATCTTGCTCTCACAAGAAAATAACTTGAGCACATAGCATATGGATGTTGATCCCACAAATAAGATCGTGTGAAATGAATGATCTTGTTTTCATGCAATAATAACATGTAGCAAAGCATTTTGTGCACAAGCTGTTAATGGGTGTGAAGAATATATGGATTTTATTCAGACAAGACCACAAGGCCTGCAAGGAAATTATCATATTCCCACAAGACAACTTGTGCATCTTGCACAAACAAGATAACCTGTGAAGTACATGCTATTGCTCCCAAAGACAGTAACATGTGTACACAGCATATTGATCACACATGCACAAGTTCTTACCTTGTGCACAGAAGATAACATCAATAAAATATCTTATAATAATATAATAATAAATAATAAAATAACTTATGTGCAAGCTACACTGATCTCGTGCAATTTGTGAAATAAAAAATCCCCCCAAGAGGTAACGTATGTGTACTATATACGGATCAGGGGAAAGCATCAATAAAGTAAGAAGCTGCTTAGGTCACCAGGGGTCTTGAAATGAGGAAATTATGAGTCTCAAGTTAAATGTTTTGTTCAACTTTTGGCACAATTGAAATGTTTTTCCTGCATTTTTCTAGTTTTCTCTTGGCAAATATGAGTTGTTAAATAAATAGATTCACTGTATAATACAATAAAAATGATAAAAAAAACTGTCTACATAAATACATGTCCTGTCTGCAGGTTTAAAAGATGAAACTTTTAGCTTATAATGTTTTGGGGTGTGGGGTCTGTAAAAGCTCGGTTCAGCCCTGAATATAATGAAACCCAATCTAAACAGGAAATTATAGTTTATTAATAAATTAACTGGTAATGGCTGGCCATTTGTGGCATTTTGAGAATTTACTTTGCAACATTATATGGCTTTTTAATTTGTTTTTACAATGTCAGTGCCACAGTTTAAGTTGCTACACAAGTACAGTTTTTCTGTGGTCACAAGTTATGTAATGATCTGTTTCTATGACTGTCCTTTCATCTTTCCATTACATCACCACCTGTCCTGCCTCATCCATCTACCATCTCTCCCCACCTCTTGTTTCTTCTCCTTCCCTTTTACCTCCATTTTCCATCCACCCATTGTGTCCAGTTGGATAGCAGGCCTGAAGCTGAGTCAGCTCTCTGTCACATTATTCTGTTGCTGAGTGAATTACTCTGTCTCCATTAAACTAATGAGAAAGCAGGAGGACTGAGTGAAATGGAAGAAACATAGCACCGGTGGGTGAGGAAGTGGTGGAAGATGAGTAGGGGGGTGCAGAGCACTGCTGTCTGCCGTAGCGCCACCATAAAACTGCACATTTTTCAAACCTTACATGTAACAGCTTTAATGTGAGACCATGTAAGTTTTGAAAACAGCAATAATCTTATATTTTTTTTATAAATTAGAAGGTGCTTTGCTGTCTTATTTGGTCTGGCATGGTTACGATAGCAAGTGTTACCAAATGTGACCAGATTTAAGATTAGAGCAGGTTAATTTTTCAAACAAAAATGCCAAAGCTTGAAGATTCTCAGATTTGGTGCCTTTCTTGGTCTTTAACTGAGTAATCTGAGGCTTCGCACTAGATGTCAGACAAAAAAAAACAAACAAAAAAAACAATCAGACATCTATTAAAACTCTAGGATACTGTGATTTTTCATTGTTTTCTGATGTTAAATAGACAAAATAATTAATCAGTTAATCAGTTAATCAACCATTAGTTGCAATTGGAGAGGCATTGCTTTATTATAAATTACCTCATTAGGTTGGGTCACTGACTCTTTATCTAAACTACATTTTATGATTTACTATTACCCCACAGTTTTTCTTTCTGGCCATAGTGACCATTGCCTCATTTTAAGGGCTCCAATATGCTATGTGTTGATCCCTGCATGAAATGTCTCCTACAGCTGTGTGAACACTGTCTGCAATAATCAGTGTGTACCAGGCCTGCTCCTGTCTGGGAGGGCATTAGTGATATGGACCAGTCTACAGCAAGCAGGCAGTAAAGTTGTTGTAGAAAAGTGCAAGAGAAGCCAAATGGAGGTGGTAATAGCAAGAAGCATGCAGCCTGCTTAATTCTGGAGTAAAACTGCTTCTGATTTGACCCTCCTTATTGATGTTCATAAACATTTGTGTTTTGTGTTCTCTAGTCTTGTACAATGTTTTAAAGTCATTCAGTCACTTTGTATTTCTGATGCATTTGGCAGTATCACATTTGATACTTTGACCATTTTGTACATTATCAGTAGACATTTTCAGCTCATCTGCTAACCCCCACTACCCTCTATCATGTAAGCTTATATAAAATAAGATAAGATAAGATACTGTTAATTTTTGTTTTTAAGGTTCTTAATGGTTTGGCACCATTTTACCTTATACTTTTGTTTTATGATGCATTCCTTTTAATCTAATTTATTGAATGTGTGTCATCTGTGTCTGAGTTATTGTTTTATTTTTGCACTGAATCTATTTATTTTAGTTATTTATCATGATTTTATTCTGTCTATGTAAAGTACTTTGGTCAACTGGATGTTGTTTTTAAAGTGCTATATAAATAAATTTGATTTGATTTGATAGTGATAAATATGCCACTAACCTGCTGACAGGGCATTAACATTAACATTAATAGGACTTGTTTCTGCTTGATTTAAAGGGACCTTTAATGCTATTTTATGTCATGTGAATTCTATGGCAGAAATGGAAGGACCGAACTTACAAAGCTGCATATCACATCAAGCAAGCATAAAGTGAGAAATGTAGGGTAATGTGTCCATGGAATATTGTCAACCAAAACAGACTTGGATATTCTGGCTTTATGACATAAAAAATACACAAGACAAAGTGAAGCTGAACACAGCAGGTAGTACATAATAGTACTGAGGGCTTCAACAGAAACAGGAGGCAGAAATACAGCAGCTGTTGAGTCCAAAAAAACAAAACCCTGACATATTGGAAAGAAAAGACTCCTCAGAAAACAAAAGTGGTGTTTATGAGATTAACACAAAGACAAGTGAGTCAACAGTAAACCAGCAGTAGTGCAGTGTCACAAGCCTGTTGAAATCCAAGTTAAACTGAGGGCTTCCAACACACAGACACACGCATATCCCCAAGGTAATGACACATCTTTGACATTTCTAATATTCCTTCATGCTGATGAGAAATTCCCTCCATAGCCCTTAATTTCCATGCACACAAATTCTAAAAAAATAACACATAAATAAATAGTATAAATAATATAAATAAAGATTGAGTGCCTGTGTTTGTGTGTGTAGTGTAACAGAAAACAAACCAACACGCAAAATAATAATAATAAATAAATGAAGTTAGACTTCACTGAAGGGCTATGAAGGAAAATGGCCATAACTTGTTGTCTCTGCCTCTATCCTCCCTGGCATTCTCTCATTTCTCAGAGGTCAGTGCAGCGCTCCTGCTTGCTGTAGTGGTCAAATTGGCTCTTCCAGTGCATCATGTAGGAGGACCAGCGATGGAACTCCACTTTCCACTGACGCTCTGCCTCATCTATATTGTCTGACAGAAGAAACAGAGACAGAATAGAAAAAAGTGGTTAACAGTTGACAGGTTAACATTTGAGTTTCTGTAGGGCTTCGCACTAATGCCAACATGTTGCTGATGCCACAGGTTGTTATTTGTGTTTGGTTCCATCCTCAAGAGGGTGGGTCTTAGGTAATATGAGCTGGTCTGAATATAGATACCAAGTAGAGGAGTATGAATGCATGAGGGTACAGAGAATGGAAAAAGCAACTTTTAGTTGACACCAGGATGGAAAACCAATGATAACTCTCAATCCAAGTATTTTGGTTTTGTTTGTCTGCATGTATTTTTTACCCTAAATGATCCAGAACCAACAATGAGTTCAGTGCATGGTTCCTGATAACCAAGAGGACAGGCTTGTTCAGTCCTAATGCTGACAGAGGTTATGGATTTTTTTTTCCTTTATGTTTTCAGTGCATTTAATATATACATTGCCATCAGGATGAAAAGAGAATTTTAAGAAATGTAAAAAAAAAAAAAAAATCTTTTGAAATGAACTTTCAACACTACCACTGATACTTCAGGAATGAAATCACTCATCAGTCAATCATATTGCAGAGTAGAACTATCACAGTGTTATGGTTTGTGGACTTACTTCCTGCTATGCGCTTTTATTTTGTTGGATTTCCTGTTCTGTGCCAGTTTCACCTGCCTCAACTTGACTCTGGTTCATAATTACCACTCATTGTCTCCGCCTGTTGCTTGTTATCCCCTGGTCTCCAGCCTTTACATTCTCCTCCCTTCCCTCAGTTAAATGCTGGTTCATTCTCTCGCCACACCCTGGCGAGAACAGTTTCTATGTTCCTGAAGCTCTGTTTACATCACCCATTTTGGGTTTTGCCCCAACATTTTCTAGATTATTCTTCTGACTTACCTGCTGTTTGGATTCTCAGTTCTGTTCTGTTCTGTTCTTTGGATTTGTTTGAGTTGAGTGTTTTTGAGTTCATTTATCTCACTCCCTGACTGAACGGTTGTGTTATATCCTTTTCGACATAATAAGCTATTTAAACAGATGAAGAATTCCTTTCTTAGAAACACCATTTCAGTTTGGTGCACTGTAGAGCAGGGGTGCCCAATATGTCGATAGCGATTGGCCGGTGGATCTCAAAGGTAGTGTTGGTAAATTGCATGTCAATATGATCATCTTAGTTAATGCTTTCAAACGAAAAATGCAACATCTCTCCTCAAAGCTGCAGCGCCATTTTTGGGGGAACTTCCAAATCCTCGCATCAGAGCTGGAGATGCAACGGAAGGTGTGTGTGCAACTTGACATTGCGCACTACACAGAGTAGACTTACAATTGTTGGTCAGAGGCAAACGCATTCAAGACTTTGCTTCACTCGAGCCAGTCGCTACATTTATGTGTTACCCATTTAGGGAAGATATCAAGGTTCATTCACTCACATCAAAAATTGCAACACTGTTTCATCTGAACTGGTCTGGAGTGGAGGATGAGATATTGACACTACAGGCTGACATTCAGCTGAAGTCCAGGGCCAATGGAACTAATGGTTTTGGAACTTACAGAGGAAAAGTACCCAAACATATGGAAATGTGCCATTGACTGCATTATTTGGCTCTACTTATTTATGTCAGCATTTTCCCATATGAAGATTATTAAGCCGAAAATACCGCTCCACCATGACTGATGATCATCTAGAAGTCTGCTTGAGGCTGGCTACCAGCAGCTACTGTCCCCACTATGCAGCACTGGCTGATTTCATTCAGTGCAAGCCATCAGAGTAAAGTAATGGCCAAAAATGTACTGAACTGAAGTGTGCCTTAAAGGTTCATGCAGTTATGCAAGGTGCGCCAGCATACAGTATATTGTGTTTACATAAAGTATACTCAGTGTACACACACACACACACACATATACATATATATAAGTTTTGTATTTTTACTCTAGGTAGATCATTTTGACTTGGTCATTTGAAAGGTAGCTCGCAAGGCGAAAAAGTGCAGGCACACCTGCTGTAGAGTATATCAGTATATTGGTGACACACTGCTCTATCACAGTTGGGGTAACAGATGGTTTGTATCTGGAAGGGATAAGGGATTTAAGTTGTGATTTGACAAAGGTGTGTCAAAACGTCAGACTTTATTTCAGACTTACAGTACATGTAGATGGTAATTTATGGATGTTCATCTGGTTATGTGAGAAATATAACATTCCAGCTCAAAACATTTTATCCAGTCTTCTTAAAAACAACTGCTGATGCCTACAGTATGTTATCAAAACTAGATGAACTAAGAATTACCCATATTACTAGAAAAAGTCACAGTGAAAATAATATTAATCCTGCTTTATCAATCTCTTGTGCTACTACTCTTGTTTATTTTAACATACATGTTAGACTGTGAGGCTACAGCACACTTGGTGTATAGAATAGAAACCTTATAAGGATTGGCACAGCATGCAGTCATTTTCTTTTTGACTGCAAACAGATAGCACCAGAGATTTCTGCCCCATTGGGATTAGCCTGGATCACCATTCCAGCTGGTAAATGGCAGCAGTAACACAGAGAGAGGAAGCAGAAGTAAGGTAAAAGAGCTGGCCTACAATCTAAGACAAAGGCTACCTTACAAATGTCTGATCCCTTCCCAACAGTATGGATGAGTTACAACTAAGAATATTTTTACAGAGGGGTATTAAGGACTGCTGCTTCCTCATCTTGATGGAAACTTGGATTAATTCAATCATCCCTGACCCTGCAGTGGAGCTAGTGGGCCACACTCTCATCCAGGCTGATAAGACAGCCAACACCAGCAAGAAAACAGGGGGCCAGACATTGTTTATATGTGAACAATGTCTAGTGTACAAATGGAATCAGTGTGGATAGACGCTGTACCCCAGACCTGGAACATATCATGGTGTACTGCAGGGCAGTTTATCTCCAGAGCTAATTCTCTGATATTTTTGACCACAGTTGATATACCACCACATGCTACTGCTAAGATAGCACTAGAGCTGCAACATACTGCTATTAACAGATTTCACGCACCAAAGGAGCCTTCATTGTGGCAGTGGACTTTAATCATGCAAACCTAAGGTCAGACTATTCAAAATTCTTCCAGCATGTTAAACACCCAAACAGGGGCAAGAGCACACTGATCCATATCTACACAAATATTGATAAGGCATATAAGGTTGTCTTGTCCCCACTTGACAATCTTAGCATATAATCTTGTTAATGTCACCCTCTTACAAACCACTCATCAGTAGGATTAAGTCATCCTCTAAAATGGTTACAATCCGGTCTGAGGGAGCAATGACACAGATTCAAGACAGCTTTGAGCATATAGATTGGAGGTGGTAGTACCTCTTCTGCAGATCTAGAGCAATACACCTCATCCATTCTGTCATATATGACCTATTGCACAGAGAAGGTCAGTAAAGGCAAGGAAATATGTGCGTTACCTAATCAAAAAACCTGGATAACCAAAGAGGTTAAGTTTCTACTAAAACAGAGAGATGCTGCCTATAGGGCAGGAGACACTGCAACCTACAGCGCAGCAAGGGCTAACCCTAAAGCGAGGCATCAGAGCAGCTAAACAAAACTACAAAGTCAATATTGAGGACACTTTAAGAATAACAACTAACAGCATATGTGGCAAGACATTCAAGCTATTACTCACTACAAAAGTTCTAATACTCAGAGAGCAAAGAGTAATTCGACTCTGGCAGAGAAACTTAACATGTTCCTTGCTCGTTTTAACAAGGAGAACATGAGGAGGGACACAGACAAGCCCGTGTTTCCACCCACAGGATCTGAGCTTGGTCATTCTCAACCACCTTTGGAGGTGTATCCCATTTTGACTTTGGGACTTCCAGCCTGAAACTCGGCACAGATGTTTCTGTACACTATGCCAGCCACTTGGTTTTGGCGTTCCATGTATGCCCTACCTGCTAGCATCCTGCACCCCACTGTTATGTGCTGGATTATCTCAGGGGTATCTTTGCACAGCCTGCACCTGGGGTCCTCCTATTGATCTTGTACTTAGAGCTTGTTCTTGCGCTGCCAGGATTAGTGCCTCTGTGCTGTCTTTTAGTCCAGCTTTGTCCAGCCACTGGTAGGATTTTTCGATATCAGCCACTTCTTCTATCTGACGGTGGTACATACCGTGCAGAGGTTTGTCCTTCCATGAGGGTTCCTGCTCTTCTTTCCCTTGTTTCTCTGGTTTCTGCTGCCTGAGGTGTTCACTAAGCACATCATCACTCGGGGCCATCTTCCTGATGTATTCATGGATCTTTGTTGTTTCATCCTGGATAGTGGCTCTGACGCTCACTAATCCTCGGCCTCCTTCCTTCCGCTTAGTGTACAGTCTCAGGATGCTGGATTTGGGGTGAAACCCGCCGTTCATTGTAAGGATCTTCCTTGTTTTGATGTCAGTGCCCTCTATTTCCTCCTTTGGCCAGCTTATTATGCCAGCGGGGTAACCTGATGACCGGCAGGGCATAGGTGTTAATTGCCCGGACTTTGTTCTTTCCATTCAGCTGACTTCTTAGGACTTGACTTACTCTCTGCAGGTACTTGGCAGCTGCTGCTTTCCTTGTGGCCTCTTCATGGTTTCCATATGCCTGCGGGATCCTAAGGTACTTGTAGCTCAACATCAGGAGTTGCCTTACACTCTGTAGGTACTTGGTAGTTGCTGGGAGTTAAGTTTATATTGTTTATATTATAGGTTATATTGAAACTGCTTCTGTTTAGCACATCTACCAAGTACATTATTCATCCACTTAGCTGTAGAAGAAAGGTTTCCATATCTACTTACCTTCCATATTTATAAGTTTGTTTCCTTTCTTGGCTGTGTAGTTTTGGCTTTGTGTTTATGCCTCTAGCTCTCCCATTTTTTGTTTTTAATTATGGTTAGCTTGGACTCTTATTTGAGATTGGCCTTTGGGAAAACCTATGTGAAGTTCATTTTCTAGCTATACTTGTGTTCTGTGTACGTTAGTACTTTATTAGTAGTCTTGTCTAAGTGCCAAAGCCTTCAATAAAGCCACATTATTTTCACCACATATCTCTGTTCTGTTTCAAATGGGGTCTGGAAATGAACTATTATAATACAAAAAACTTGACAGAACCTCAACAAATACAAAACCTTGACAATATTCTATACAGATGTCATGTTTTGACTAGAAGCAGTATTTAGTAATGTTTACCAGTGATATTGAGGAGGCGGGGCAGAAAGCGGTTCCAGAAAGCACACATCTGGTTCCTTAGACCTTTGTGGATCTTCAGTGGTTCAGTGTTGAGTCCAACATGTTTCTGCTCATTGACAGTGAACACAGGCCATCGCTTTTTGCCATCCATCAGCCCGTCATGGTTCACATTGGGATTTCTAGCAGAGAGGATGACAACAAGGAGGTAAAAAAACACAGAACCAGGAAGGATATTAAAATTAAATCTATATCTAATTTAATAAAAACAAATGTATCAATATTATTTCTACACACAGATACAAGTTTCATAAGGTAATTCAGCAATTCAATTCATTTTCATTGTATAGCACCAAAACAGAACAAAACAAAACAAAAAAAAAATCATCTCAGGGCACTTCACACATAGTGAGGACAAGACCCTACAGCAAAGGTTAATTTAACAGCCTTTCAACCAAGCAGCAGCTTCTGCACTGAAGAAGCAGGGCCGAACATGTCTTATATACAAAATAATTTACTTGGAGAAAGTTGTTTTAAAAACTGAGTCTGTTCTTGCTAAATGTATCTAAGCATTTAGGTGACTGTCACCTGGACCAGACACTGAACACAATCATAGAACTACATATCCCTTTAGGCCAGGAAATTTTGTTTGAGAAAAACAAGTAACCAATTTGACTCAGAGAGCAGTGAAAATGTTTTTATGGCTAGAGCTCTGCTTTGCAGTAACCTTTGCAGTGGTCCATTATCTGACCTCATGCACTCTGTAGCAGCAAAGCAATATAATCAAGACAGACTGGTATGTCCTCTGTGGTATAGTTGACCCTCTCAGCTGCTCATTATAATTAATATGTAAATAGTAAATTCATTCTTTCCACTTTTTGATGTCTTACCCAGTTCGTGCAAAGTTGGCCCAGTACTTCATTATACGTCGGCTCAGTTTTTCCTCCTCTAGGGTGTAGTTGAGTCTTTTCTCCAGGGGCAGGCCAAAGACAAACTCAATCTCGTAGCCATGGATCACACCCATCCACTCTGGCCAGGCCAGGTTGGATGCTCGGTGGTCAAACAGGTAGAGGTAGACTCCTCCTTGAGGAGCATGAGGAGAAAAGGACAAGTGGTTGGTTGTTGTTTACAGTAATAGGCCAAAATCACCATGCAGATGCTGTAAAATGTTTTGTTTAGTGGATAAATCACTGTCACGATATGCAGAGAATCATTATTTGATGACTTACTATGCATGTACAGTATGTATATTGTGTGAATGCCAGCTTAATTGTGGCCTGTGGTATAAATTATCCACCCTTGGTCCAGTAGATAGTTAAAACACTTAACTTTTACTACATTTCAAACAAAATAACAAAAAACATAAATCCACCAAACAGTAAAAAAGAAAAAAACATGTTCCTCCACAGTTACACATGTCAGGGTTGCGCTTTGCTTCCTGTCTCTCTCTGTTTCTCTCCCTCTCCCTCCCTCCTTTCCTCTGCAGACACTGGCATCTCAGGAATGCACCTCACCTGTGGCAGATTACCTTGATGAGCTGTTGGCCTACTTAACCACCACTCTAACATTCAGTCACAGCCGGTTCATTGCCGTACTTAGACCATGAAGTTTTGGCTCCTACAAACCTGCAAGTAAAACCGTTACCTTTATTACTGCACTCTCTGCTGAGATCTGTACCTGCTGTGTGGAGTCCTGCCTCCGACATCGTGCGCTGTAATGCACATTGCACTTACACCCGTCTCATTTTCAACTTCTATCAACACAGCCACTGCTTCCCTGGCTGACACCATCCGCTCTGGGCCAGCTTCTCTGCAGCAATGGTTTCAACTCACCTTAGCTCATCGTTCGACTCAGCAACCCGTCTCCAACAACTCATCTCTCTGGCGTCACTCCACTGGGCTCATCCCTAAGACTGCGCTCTACCCGAGGTCTGATCCACCATCACCAGCCCCATACAAACTGACTTCCCCTGTCAGCTGCCAGTACATCATCACTTATCATTAGTACTATATACTATTTGACTCTGCTGTTGCAATAAAACACATTCTTCTCTTACTGATTTTCTGCAGTTAGTGTCCTGCTCTCTTTCTCCTCTGGGCTCGAGAGAGGGAGAACAATACAACTTGTCAACTCTCTGCCATCCTCTAGGCATCCCACTCAGTGTAACCAAAAACCCCAGGTCGATTAAAGTGACAGTGCTTAAAGTTAGGATATCAGAAACATCCTGAACTTATAAACTGCTACAAAACAAATAATATCTGCAGTATACAGTGCATAAATGAATTATAAATGTATCAGTAACCCAAAAATATATTGTATTAATTATAACACATATGCAATTAAAATTTCAGCAATAAGCTGAAATATTTAAGTATTTTCAAACTAGTACATATCCAGCCACTAATTATTCTCTAATTTTAGAACCAATTACCAAACTAGATTTGCAACCAAATATAAAGGGGATCCAAGCACCCTGGGGCAAGTTGGACCCAGTGTGCCGCTGACCTAAGGCAATCTGTACCTGCTGTGTGGAGTCCTGTGATATTTCAGTTTTTCTTTTTTAATAAATCTCCAAAAATGTCAAAAATTTTGTATTTTTCTGTCAATATGGGGTGCTGTGTGTACATTAATGAGGAAAAAAAAAAGAACTTAAATGATTTTAGCATATGGCTGCAATATAACAGAGTGAAAAATTTAAGGGGGTCTGAATACTTTCCGTACCCACTGTATACAGTAAAATTGTACTAATTGCACTGGTGTTGTAAAGGGTTATAGACATTCAGATATAATGATAACTTATTTGAGGAATATAAAAAATAAACAAAACAAACAAAAAACAAAATGAGAAACAATACGTTAAATTATAATATGGGGATTCATCTCAGGCCAAGGTGTGTAGGCCAAGGTGGCCCTGACCATTCCCTATAATGGTTTATATGTGAAGTAGCTATTGGCAAGCCAGAGAACCAGATGGGATCCCCATTTAAAAAATATTATTTCTGTCACTTACTGTATATGGAGCTGTAATGGAAATGCATCCACATATGTGTTTTAATATGTGGATTACTGGCACAAACTTATGAGGATATAGGTGGCTACAATAGACAGAAACAGTAGCCTGCCAAATGTACTGGACATGTACAAAAGACACTTTACATAGTTAATATTAGCATCCATCTTTATTTTGACTTCTTTATTAAAGGATATCTGATGACTATGTGAATCTAGCCACAGGAGTTGCAAGCCAGTGACTTCTGTGCCGGTCCCAAGCCCGGATAAATAGAGAGGGTTGCGATGACTATGTGACTGTCCTGTACACTGTACAATGCTGTGTCTAACAGTTGTTGGGTCCCTGTATGTCAGACATGCACGTGCAGGAGTCAAATGTTGTGGGCTAAATGTAATCTGGCTATTTTGAGGAAAAGAGTGCCCAACTGAACTTGGTGAAACAGAAGTCCAGCTTGATTTCTCCATTCATGAAACTGTACTATAAAACCACACTTGTGATAAATGGAACATGCACAATCACATATCTTACCCTGTGAGTTTCCTCCACTGTTCAACACCCCGAAGCTAGCTCCTCCCATATTAGTCTTAAGGGCATGGTGCTGAGCATAAGAACGAGCAAAGTGAGCCAGTGGGCAGATAACGTTGTGGTCACCAACAAGGTCATCCATGGCATCACGGTTCTTCACCCCATTATTCTCATCCATCCAGTCGGTATACTGTAGCACCACCGCCTCCAGGCCAATATCATTAGCATGTGGTACGCTCAGCTTGACACCTGGCAGAGTGAAGTTTAAAGATATTAGGTGCACTTTTATTATTTAGAGGTATAGTTGTGGCTGTGATGGGGTAAAACACACTAGTGCCTGTTAGTTGTTTTGGTAGAATTTGATAGTGTTGATTCTCACTATGTAATCACATAATGATAACCAAGAACAGTCAGTTTATGCACTTATACATTTTAGAAACTATTGCTTCACTTTGTTTTGTGATGAAATTGTTTCATTAAATGCTACTGTATGTTGGTTAAAATTAATGAAAACTAAATAACTGTGTCAAATATTTTTTTTAATTGGACTAATTGTACCAATTGACTGAATAAGTGAGAAATACACATATAAATGTGCCAATTCACAACAACAATCATCTCAGGGAATTTTACATAAACAGGTCTAGATCTTCCACTAGAAAACCCAACAAATCCCCCTTGAGCAGCACTTGGTGACTGTGGGGAGGAAAAACTCCCTTTAACGGAAGAAACCTCCGACAGTCCCTGGCTCACTATACATGGAAACAATGTGACTGAGATTTCAGGAGGAACTGTGTTGGTTACTGTGACTGTAGGATCAATTTATGGTAAATTTTAAATGAGTTTTGCATTACATTTGTAGAGGAGATACTGTATCTCTTAATAGTATCTTATAGAAATATTTCCATTTCTGTCCATTCTTTAAAGCTAATTGAGCTTAACCTTCCAGGAAGTCCTCTCTGGAGATGAGACTTTCATTGTCCTTGCTGAAGCCCGGTGCTCCATACAGCAGGAAGTAGGAGCCCTCATCCTGGTTGATCCCAAGGAGGATCTGAGTGTCTTTAAAGTTGCCAGAGTTGACCATGGTCTCAGGAGTGTCGGGTAGAAACTCTCCATCCACAACAGGGACAAATGAAAACCGAAAAAGGGCTGACCAGGGCAAGACCTGCTCAGAACAGGATGACAAACCCAAATGTACCACTGAGTTGATCTGAGTGACAGTAAAATAAGATGCACATACAGTACATAACAAGACTGAATGTCATGAGTGAAAGTGGGAAATTAAATGTCAAGGTAACTGAATTCACTTAGCACAATTAATATACTGACATAGGACCAAAAAACTCCTGCATTCAGATCAGTACTTCAGTTCAGTTATATCTTATGCTATGCTATACATATACTCACATATGCACGCACATGTATCCCCACTGCATATATATATAAAAAATAGAAGACCATCACTTTGGAGTGGTCTTATTCCTTCCTTCAAGCTCGGGTCCTCTACCAGAGGCCTGGGAGCTTGAGGGTCTTGCACAGTATCTTAGCTGTTCCTAGGACTGCACCCTTCTGGACAGAGATCTCAGATGTCGTTCCTGGGATCTGTTGGACCCACTCTCCCAGTTTGGGGGTCACAGCCTCCAATGTTCCTATTACCACGGGAACCACTTGTGCCTTCACCTTCCACATCTTCTCTAGCTCTTCTTTCAGCCCTTGGTATTTCTCGACCTTCTCGTGTTCCTTCTTCCTGATGTTGCTATGGCTTGGGATTGCTACATCTACCACTACAGCCTTCTTCTTCTGTTTGTCCACCACTACTATGTCCGGTTGGTTGGCCATTACCAGTTTGTCAGTTTGTATCTGGAAGTCCCACAGGATCTGAGCTTGGTCATTCTCAACCACCTTTGGAGGTGTATCCCATTTTGACTTTGGGACTTCCAGCCTATAC